TAAAGATCAAGCCTGAACAATGTAAATAGAACAATATATACTACTAGCAGCATGGCCCGGCGTTGCCCGTGCTTTATTCAAAAATAGTACGACTAATGCAGCAATCGCTATCACTTGACTTAAAATATTTTTGCCCTTCCTTGCCTTTAGAGGAGTGCCCTTTGCCATGCTGATGTTGTTACATGTCTTACTTCTTGCCTATATCACACTGCCAACTTTTTCTAAGCTCTATAGTAAACATTAAATCTGTTACAAAAAAAGAACTAAACAAAATGAACACAATACGATCAGCTTTAAAAAACCGGAAAAAACATTTTTAATGGTTGACCGATTGTCAATTTGCACTCTGTTTGGGGGTTGCTCAGAGTTGAAACTTCACATGATGACTCCCAATGGCCTCTTCCTAAATCCGCTCGGTTTTCGCTAAAAACTGACATGCGGTTCAGACGCAATCTGGGCGTATCGGTTTTTGGGTTTTATGGATTTTCCGTGCTGTTTAGGGGTCCGTGGTCATGAAACTTCTGGACAACACTTCTAATGGATGGACTCTAAGAGAGTGTCAAATGTGGTTGAAATGCGATCATTCCTTCTGTAAGCAGAATTTTTTTGATTATCGACTTTTTTTCAGAACCTGATTCAGAACTCAAAAATTGGGCTCCGTCATGTCCTTACGGCAGCCATTTGCAAACTTGTCGGGTGAGAAATGCGGCCTGGGCGAGGTAACAACGCCCATGACAGACAGACAACATGAGAAATATAGATAGTAGATAGATATATAATTTTTATTACATACTATAAGCCCATTGGATAACATTGGATAAAACTCCCCTCCCATAAAAAACAACTATAAATATGAAATAGTCTAAAACATTTCAGTAATCAATGAACAATTTCTTTTTTTTTAATTTGAGCTTTACTCTTCTGAATGACTTATACTGTGATTACTTTAAAGAAATTTAAATTGATTTTTCTTTTTTATATTTTCAAAATATTATTATTATATATATATATATATCTTTTTTGTTTATATCTTCTTTAAAAATATTATGTGAAGTTGTCATCATCAGTTGAGTGATGACTGGGTAAGGTCATAGGGTAGCTATGCAGTTTAGTACCTGACCAGCTACCTCCATATGCCTTGGTTGCATGCCAATGTCTGAATCTCTGTGATCTTCCACTTCACTCAATGAGATTTTAAGATCATTTTTTTCCTCTGTCTGCCTCTTTTGCCTAAAGTAGTACTTTGTAGAATGGTAGTGTAAAGATGTTGGCTCTTATTTGTCCAGTGGGCATGTTTCTTATTTGATGGTGTTTTGCATTGTATCTTTTGATGTGTCTAGGATGGTTCTGTAGCATCTTATTTCTAATGTATTTTGCAAAGTAATTTTAGTCTCCAAAGTTTTTCATACAAAAATTTTGGTATTAGGCCAACAAGTAAAACTATTGTTGGCAATCTGTGGATGTGGAAGTCCTGTTATACACTCATAGTCTCAAGAAAATGACTTCTTAAAAATTTTATGATTAAACAATCTTAATATAAAGTATATTTTTTTAAGAGAAATTAATCTTTAAAAATGTGTAATTAGTATTTGGTTAAAAAAAAAAATTGCATTTAATTTTTAGAATTTCTGTATTTATGTAAAAGTCAAACTCTGAAGAGTGTAGCTGATTTTTGCAAATGTTTATCTTTGAGCCTCTAAACAGTGTCTTACCATGATGTCAAGAAGTCTCCAAATCTAAAAATAGATTTATAATTCTATATTTGTAAGTTAATATTTGTTGACAGTGGAGGAATTTTTAAAACTTTATCAGCTGCTTGTTTAAATACCCAACAAAATAGTACTTGTATCCTATTTTTCATTTTATATCTCTTACTGCAGCAGTTTTATGTACAGAAGAATTTTGCAATCAATATTAGTTCTCAATGTGTCCAAACTCAAATATATGAAAGGAAGTTGGAGTAATAATTTCTCTATGAAAACTACAGAATGATGATACTGGTTTTTTTGTATTTTTGTTTTTGTATCTTTCTCTCTGTTGCATAATTGTGTTGTCTACTGGAATCTCTTTGATCTAAATCAATGATTGCTGTCAATACAAATTATTCTTATCCATGAAAATACATTATTCCAGCACTTATACAGACTAATATCCTCATCCTTGCTATTAAAAAAACAAACTCTGAAGCTTCTTACCATAACCAAGATATATTTGGAATTTTTATAAAAACTACAGGAAAATTTAACTAATTCATTTTTGTATTCCTTTTTAAAGATTTTCAATTTGGGATGGCTTAACCTGTCTTTGGTATGAATAAAATAGTTTTCTGGGTCTGTTCCTGGATGAAGGTGAAAAATGTCTAGAGATCTGCTTTCATAGAAGAAAAATTGTCAGTGTTTAGTGTAATGTGTTGAACTATTTGGTATTGGAGAATATTACACTTAAAACATTTGGATGAAAAACAACAATAAGAGGAAGGAAAGTAGTGAACAATTAATAATTAAATTATTTTGGGAATTTTCCTCTTTTTTTTTTTTTTTTTTTTTTGCTGAAGTTAATAGAACATTGACTCTTATGTCTATCCTTCTGAAAGGATTAAGGTGCTTTTGGGTAGTATTGGTGCTGTCTTTCCTTAAGCTTTGCTGCTTGTTAGTTGAAGAGAAATACCATTTTTCTCACAGATGAATTCCTGCAGAATCGGTAGCTTAGAAAATCAAAATTTTCCCAGTCTGCTATCATAATTGCATTTCTCCCTCCTCCTCCTCCTCATATATCCAGAACCTAATGTATTACAACTGGGACTGGGAAGTTTTAAGATTCTAATTTCATGCCTCTTGTCTTACTTCATCAAATCATTAGTAATCTCTTGCTCCCTTGCACCATCCAATCACACCTCTCCCTAATTTCCTGCCTCAGTAATTCATACTAAGCCTCTTGAACTCACTTAACTTGGTCCTCGTCTTCTCTGTTTTAACTTCTTCATATTACTCTTTCTTAACATTGGCACTCTTCCACTCATTGTACACTGTTTTCTCTTCATCATTTCTCCTCCTTCTCCTCTTTTTAAATTCATCTGCTTTTTTTTTTTTTAAACTCCCCTGTGGGCCATTCTTTACTTCTGTTTCCACAATCTCATCTTATCTACCTGGGAAATCAAATAGGTTAGAAATTCAAAAATACTTTATATATAAGGCCCATATGTTATTTGAATATTTTTCCTGATAATATGAAATCATGCTAATTTTAAAAAAAGGAAGCTATGCTGTGCTATGATCTAAATCATCAAACCAATGTAATCCTAAAAATAACACCTCTAAATCTGAACAGTGAAGTGAATTTTTATGTCTAGATAATTTTATTACTTCAAGCATTATTTTTAGTGGATGCTCATATTTGAGCAGAACATAGCATTTTTTTTTTTTTAACTCTGTTTATTTCATCAACTGGCCTGCACATTTCAGAAAACCTAATAAATAAAATGTGCTCTCCAGCAAGATTTGAACCTGTGTCCCCCTTCATAGGTGCAACCACTGCCTGAGTTGTGCTTTAGACCACCTGACTACAGAGAACCTCACTGCTAAGCAAGGTTCTATTTGTTTCGAAGCAACATCTCTCACTGGGATGGCACCTTTTCATTATGAGTTTTTTTTTTTTACTGTTCAGGACAGTAGATAAAATAAACACTGTTTAAAAACATGACGTTCTACTCAAATGGGTATCCACTAAAAATGTTTTAAGTAACAGAAATGTCAGATTAAAAATAAAAATTCATTAATTCTTTAGAAATGTCTAGATAATGCTTTTTTTTCTTTGATCTTTGCAAGAAGCCACAGCATTTAACTTTTTCGGTATTGTCTATATTTTACACACACACACACACACACACACACACACATATATAGGCAAGTGGTTAGAACGTTTGCTTTCTGACCATGAGACCCAGGTTTGAATCTCACCCCGGTTGATTTGTCAGGAAGAAGAATTCCTGATGTTATCAGTCTGGGGGTGGGGTGGGTGGCGATCCCAGGATGTGGCACCTTTGGAAAGTGTCTGAAAACCATACCATGGATTGACCCAAGCCTTTTGAGTGAAATTGGGTAAATAGAACATTTGGGGCTGTGTTAGCGCAAAGTCACAAGTCATTGTGACTGAGAGTTTGAGTGTGCTGGTGTTGTTAATATTGTTGATCATTCTAGATAACACGCTCTTTCCCAGAGACTGTAACTAAGGTCTGCTCAGCATAGTTGCATTATAAACCAAAGGTGGGCTCTGTGGGTGTTGAAAAAACACAAATGTACCTTAGTGAGTATCAGCAATAGGGATTTGCTAGCCACCCTAGTAGATGGGTATCCTCAAATATGAGTGGCCAGCTGTTATATATTGTGATACATTCAAAAATTCTTCTGTAGAGATAGAGCAGAATAAAGCTAAAAAGGTGGGTGCAGTATTTCTGCATATGAAACTTGTCTATATTTGTAGAACATTTTGATAATACATTTGTTATCTGAAAAAGATAACAAATCCTAAAAGTAAATGGAGTAATTTGCAAGTACATGATCAGGGGCAATGTAACAATGTGTATGTTAGTAATGTCTGATAAGAATACAAGACTAAAATTTTCATATGTACAATCATTGTTTATTCACTTCTGGATTCTTGTTAAATTATCATCAGTTATGGAGGATATGGGGTTCCAAGACATTCTTCAAATGTTCAATCTTTTTATTATAAGCATGTGAGGGATTCTGCCATCATAAGTCAATCATTTATATAACTTTGTCATTTGGGTTCACTTCTTGTTTATGTTGGTATACTCACTATCCTTTGAGCTCCGATTCTGAACTTTGTGGCTTTGAGGTCACCTTCTAGGTTAACTCTTGGATCACTTAGGTATTTTGACATTCTGAGGTGATACCAGGTACAAATATTACTTTGGTTCTCTTAGAGCCTAGTACATATTGGAGCCACCAAATATCAACTCTTAGATTTAAGTAACTATATCACATTGAAACACCAGTTCTCATCTGATCACTGAAGTTAAGCAATGTTGAGTCTCGTCAGTACCTAGATGGGTGACCATTTGAGAATAGCAGGTGCTGTAAGCTTGGATGTGCAGGTGGTGTAATAGACAATGGCTTGGAATGAGAAGTTGGAGAGCAGTTCCAATTCCAGTTGGGTTCATTATATTTGTTTATGTGCAAATAACCTTGGGAAAGGTATGAATCCACCTCTTCTTGCTACAGCTCTGGGTTAAATAGTAGGACTTGTATCAGTAAAATCATTATCACCACCAAAAACTTACAATCCCAAAATATTTGCTGGCTTTAAATAACCTACAAAAGGTTGATAAGCTATAAAAAAATTAATTTTAGATCAAAGGTTTCTGATAGACATTAAATTTGATTCAGTCCACTGATACTTCCTGGTGTAAATTGCATACTATACCTGATATTAGCAATCATTATCTTCATGATGAAAATTATGTGGATCAGGCTGGTAGTGGTATAAATGATAACAATGATAATGTAGTTTAAGTTGAAGAATTGAAAAGCAATGAAGAAAAAGGTTGTGGGGACATAGTAGGAAAATGGAGTGACAGATTTTCAAGAAATAAACTCTGGTAAGTCAATTTCTGGCATGATACTGAGTAGAGCTGAGGCAATGACTAGCAAAACTAAACCTTGTTACAATATTAAATGTAATTCCAATGGCAGTTCAGGTTGGATTGATTTCAGCAAATTTAATTATTGGTCATTTGTACCTGATGTTTACTAATGATTGTGATGAAATTATGGCAGCAATGGAAAGTGAAATTAAGGACTAGAAGGATAATTGTGTGCAATGAAGTTTGAGATCAGTCAATGTTTTTTATGTCTGTAAGATTGAGATAGATTATTAAGGAAAAGATAAGGAATGTCATTGTTATAACCAAAGCACAATAGATTCAACGAAGATGCACTGATTTGTTCAAAAGCATTTTGCTTTGTTCTTTCACTGGCTACATCTAATCAATGAGTTTGTTTCTTATCCTGTAGATGACAAGTCTGCATAATTGTAATAAAATTGAACATTTCTTTTTTTTCTGTTTATTTTTTCTTTCTTTTAACTATCTCCATTTTTCTGCTTGCTTCCTCTGTTTCTTCTTTCTGCTCGCTTCCTCTGTTTCTATGAGCCATGGAGAATCGTTCATATTCACTTGATCGGTTAAGGCATGTCAGGCTAAATGACGGTTCCGTATAGGATACAGGTTCGATTTCTGTCGGAGAACAAATATTTTCTATGAAAATTTCTCAGTCATTCAGGCCGGTAAATGTTGTTAATACTGTTTATTATAAAACAGAGCATTTACTGAAATGCTTGTATCTATAAAAAGAATGTATAAACATAAAAATGTCTTAAAATAATTGTCGGACTTTGTCCATTTCATGTGTGACATCATTTGTTTACATTTGGATATACTTTGAGCAGATATGAATGTATGTGGGAGATTTATGGAAGATTGAAGTTTAAAAACAGTAAAATCGACCTTGCTAATTGAATGATTCTCTGTGGCTCGATCAGTTAAGGCAGGTCTGGATAAATGACAGTTCCATATAGGATACAGGTTCGATTCCTGTCGGAGAATGAATATTTTCTATGAAAATTTCTCAGTCATTCGGGCCGGTAAATTTTATTAATACTGTTTATTATAAAACAGAGCATTTACTTAAATATTTGTATCTATAAAAAGAATGTATAAACATAAAAATGTCATATATATATATAATATTTCCAAACATAGTAGGCACATTGAGTGTTGGCTTTTTCATTTTTATTAATAATGCTTCTAACATTAATAAAAAACATATGTTCAGTTAAAATTTAAAATAAAATTGTCTTTGATAATGGCAAAAAGTATAGCCGAGAGTGCTCGGAGATACAAAACATTTAGTCAATTTCTACATAATTTATGTCTAGAAAAGAAGAAAATTATAAGTACACAAAAAAATTAAATCAAAAACAATCACAGTACCTTGTCTGTCATCTTTAATGAGACTTTTATAAAAGAGGGATTGTTGCCCAAATACACAATTATCTCTCTCATATGTATATCCGCACACACTGTGCTTTTTTCTTTTTTCTTTTTTTTTTTTTATTCAGCTTTATTTGATACAAATAGATTAAATGGAAGGAAATAGGAAGGGAGAAAGATTGTTGGCTTTTACCAGAGAACAAAAGGGTTTTTGAATACTAATTTATTTTATTCAGTCACAAAATTTATGTTGACATGCTTTTAAAAATCTCAAAACAAAACAAAAATCACTTTGGGAACTTAATATTGCTGATAAAAACATTAATAAGCTTGTTAACAATAATCCAAATCTTGTTTAATAGCCTTAAATGTTTGTTTTGAAATTGTACAAATTCTAATCCCTGCTGCAAAGTATGTCTAATCCACTTGAACCAATTTCCTATTCAAACCTTCCTCATTAGTAACAATGCCCCAATGACAGAAGACATACAAACACAAGTTCTATTCTGAAGTACCTTTTTAAAGTCAAAGACCTTTATCCTCTTAGGCAGACATTGCTACTGAAGTAACAATAGAAAATTTGTTTATATAAAGAGAAAAAAAAAAGAAGCTAAATTTTAATGAAACAATTTTTTTTTTGTTGCATTGTATAAAAGTTAATAGGTTTGTAAGTTTGAAGGAAAAGATTTGGAATAATTTTAACTTGTTACAAATCTGAAGGTTGATTGATAATCTCTTACTGATTATTGTCCTTAACTTTTTAGTGCTCATTGTTTCACTAGTGGAATATATTTTAGGACAGTTTTATACTCGATATTACTTATTTTATTGATAATATACCTATTATCCTAATATATAACACCATTAAATATTAAAGTGATAAATTCTTGTTGTGCCCAAATTAATAGTAATATACCATGTGTGTAATATGTGTGTTGACCCAAGCCATCTGAGTGGAATTGGGTAGACAGAACTCTTGGTGGGTCGTCATAGGTGTGCTAGCATGAAGCCACAAGTCATCGTGGCCGAGGGCTTGAGTACACTGGCCTTGTTCAAATTATTGATCATGCTAGATAACATGCTCACTCCCAGAAACTGTAACTAAGGTCTGCTCAGCATAGTTGAAGTATAAACCACAGGTGGGATCTGTGGGTGTTGAGCAAACACAAATGTGCCTGAGTGAGCATCTGCAATAGGGATTGGCTAGCTGCTTTAGCAGATGGGTATCCCCAAATACAAGTGGCCAGCTATTATATATTAATCACTATCAACTCATGCAAGGTAGTAAAGCCACTGAGGCACAAGGGGCTACAGGATGTGGAAGAATTAGGAACAGAAACATTAAGGATCACCATTGGAAAATTCATAAACTTAAGGAATCGGCACATATGCTAGGCCACAAAAATCTCCTGAGCCAACCAAGCATAGAAATGAATACAATATTGGAACCAGTAATAAGGAGTGCCAGAGAAAAGCGATAACAAAAAAAAAAGTTGCAATATGAGCACTGGTAAAAATGGTTGCTGAAGACATTAGGTTTATAATACCCAGAAATTCATACACAGATGTCCTCAAGGACACATGGCACAGTGGATAGAGGCATTGGTTAGATCCAGTGACAGGACCCAAAGAGTGTGAGTTCAATACCCGGTTAAGGCAGTGGAGAACTTTCAGAGGGAGATAACTGAAGAAGGCCGGAGCATACAACAGCTGAAACGTAATAAATATGGCAACAAAGATGAGGACAATAGTCCAAATAATGTAAATAATGTACATAATACCTCATCTCAGAAATATAAACAGATACAGAAACATTAATAATGAGTGGTAAAAGGAAAGAGTAATCAGGAGAACCCTAGACTTTAGATTTTTGAAGATTAGTTGGCTGGAAAAGCATGGTGCAAGAAAAGAAACTGTTAGCATAGAACTTACGGCTACATCTAGTCAGTTCAACTGTTAATTGATGTTTATGTCAATTTAGTACTGCACTTAAATTCAAAATGTCTAGATACCATTGAAAAGAGCTTATGTTAACAATTACCATGAAAGTATTTTTAGAAAAGGCACAGAGGTAAATTTATGGTGATGGGATATCCATATATGCTCTTTATATAAAAATTGGATGACAAATTGTATTTTTTTTTATTTAGATCTTTATTGTTCTCCTATATGTCAACTAAATAAAAAAATCTTTTTTTGTCATACATACATACACACTGTGCAGGTTAAAATAGATATTCCACTTTGCTACAAAAGGTTAGGCTGTTGGTTTCTGAGGAAAACAAAGCTTCTCTTGAATGAAATACAATTTGAGTCCATTCATACAATCTTCAGTTCCAAGCAATATGTCACCAGAATCCTGACCTTGACAGAACTTTAATCTTTAAGATGACTCAGAACTTTCATTTCTGAATGATTCACTGAAAAAAAAAAACAAACAAAAAGCAAAAGTAGAGATCGCCTGTTGCAGTTAAATTGGTGAGTTGTATAAGCAGAAAGGCTAAAATAGCAACAACTCTAGTTTTGGCATTAAAGATGAGTATTTTTTTTTTCTTCTTTTCAAGAAAAATATCTGAAAACATGAAGAAATGTTAAAGTTTTAATGAAACTGATGATTTTTCAATGATTTATTCAAATGAATTTTAAGTTTTTACAATGTTCAGGTTGTTTTTATATTTTTATAAAACCAGTCGATAAACAGTATGTATTGGAAAATAAAGAATGAGATTTCAACTTGCATTCATTATCCTAGGGGGCTTATCCTATTAAGATTGCTAACCAGTAGATATCATTTAGATTCAGTTATAGAGCTATAGTCTTTCTTATCCAATTTTACTCCATACCATATTTTTTCTTTGACCAGTTGTAGTATTAAACCTTAATTTGTTTCAATGATTTAGTCAAATGAATTTTAATTTTTTCCTTTTTTACTAATTAAAAATATCAGATCTTTTTTCTGTTTTTTGTCTAAATTCTTATGAGGAATTATTATTATACACCGATTCATTTGAACTAGTGTCCTTATCTTGATTGTTAGATATTGTCTCCACTGACCTTTTTAGGTGTCTACTGATCTGATATTTTTTGTCTG